TTGTTACTGAGGGACACAGAATTGTTACTGAGGGACACAGAATTGTTACTCAGGGACAGGACACAGAATTGTTACTGAGGGACACAGAATTGTTACTGAGGGACACAGAATTGTTACTGAGGGACACACAGAATTGTTACTCAGGGACACAGAATTGTTACTCAGGGACACAGAATTGTTACTCAGGGACACAGAATTGTTACTCAGAGGGACACAGAATTGTTACTGAGGGACACAGAATTGTTACTCAGGGACACACAGAATTGTTACTGAGGGACAGACAGAATTGTTACTCAGGGACACAGAAATTGTTACTGAGGACAGACACAGAATTGTTACTCAGGGACACAGAATTGTTACTCAGGGACACACAGAATTGTTACTGAGGGACACAGAATTGTTACTCAGGGACACAGAATTGTTACTGGGGAGACACAGAATTGTTACTCAGGGACACAGAATTGTTACTCAGGGACACAGAATTGTTACTCAGGGACACACAGAATTGTTACTCAGGGACACAGAATTGTTACTCAGAGGACACAGAATTGTTACTGAGGGACAGACACAGAATTGTTACTCAGGGACAGACACAGAATTGTTACTGAGGGACACAGAATTGTTACTGAGGGACAGAATTTGTTACTGAGGGACACAGAATTGTTTACTCAGGGACACAGAATTGTTACTCAGGGACAGACACAGAATTGTTACTGAGGGACACAGAATTGTTACTCAGGGACACAGAATTGTTACTGAGGGACACAGAATTGTTACTGAGGGACACAGAATTGTTACTCAGGGACAGACACAGAATTGTTACTCAGGGACACAGGTTACACACAGAATTGTTACTCAGGGACTGAGGGACACAGAATTGTTACTGAGGGACACAGAATTGTTACTGAGGGACACAGAATTGTTACTCAGGGACACAGAATTGTTACTGAGGGACACAGAATTGTTACTGAGGGACAGACACAGAATTGTTACTGAGGGACACAGAATTGTTACTCAGGGACACAGAATTGTTACTCAGGGACAGACACAGAATTGTTACTCAGGGACACAGAATTGTTACTGAGGGACACAGAATTGTTACTCAGGGACAGACACAGAATTGTTACTGAGGACACAGAATTGTTACTGAGGGGACACAGAATTGTTACTCAGGGACAGACACAGAAATGTTACTGAGGGACACAGAATTGTTACTGAGGGACACAGAATTGTTACTCAGGGACAGACACAGAATTGTTACTGAGGGACACAGAATTGTTACTGAGGGACACAGAATTGTTACTGAGGGACACAGAATTGTTACTCAGGGACACAGAATTGGGACACAGAATTGTTACTCAGGGACAGACACAGAATTGTTACTCAGGGACACAGAATTGTTACTCAGGGACACAGAATCGTTGAATTAAAGAGTATGTCAGACAACATGCAGAGGAGTGGCAGAGGAGGAGGCAATGTTTTAGGAGCGAGCAGACGTGGCAGCAGAGGAAGGGGTCGAGGGCAGCACTAGTCGCAGCCAGAGGCCATTGTGCTCCCGGTGTCATCCAGCGGTCGTGTCTCCACCGACAACAACCCTGCCGTCATCGATTGGTTGGCTCGGTCGTCTCTTCCTCTTCCCAGGTCACCTCTGACACCTACAGCCAACGGTCGGTGGGTACGTCAGACACAACCGTTAGTTGGCATGGCCCGGGAGCAAGCCCACTGAAATCACGTGTCCTCTACCTGCCCCTGTCCTTTGGTGTTCCCTCACCAAGCGAAGTATCGCATGCTGTGGGCTCAGCCCCACTGTACAGTGAGGAAGAGCTAACAGAGGGCGGTCAGGAACGGGGGGAGAGATCATCCGCCTCTTCAGCAGCCAGGCGAAGAAGTAGTGGCGAGGAGAGTGGCTCGGTAGCCGGTCTAGAGACAGGTCTGTCTCCTGACCCACACGCAGCCGAGGGGGGGCTAGTAGTGAGGCGGAGACCCTAATTGATGATGATGAGGCTGATCGCACTTGGCAGCCTCGTCGTCATCAGGCTATTGCTTCCGCATCATCAGGAGAAGAGGGTGGCAGCTTGGCAGCGAGCAAAACAGTCGGTGGGTTGCCCAGGAGGCGCAGCAGGGTCGCAGCAGTGTCAGTGGAGGCAAACGGCCACGGAGTAGAGCACCAGCTCCACTGCAGCCTACCACCACGGCCAGTAGTGGTGCCGGTGTGCACGGAGGAAGTAGCAGTCAGCCAGTGAGGAGTATCGGGGGCAAAGTTTCCTACTCGGCGGTGTGGCAATTTTTCGTCAAGCCGCCCCGAGGAAGTAAACGTAGCCGTATGTCGACTATGTGGCCAGAAAGTCAAGCGTGGCCAGGGGGCCCATGTTGGGACTACAGCGTTGCGGCAGCATATGCAGCGTCGCCATTTGGTGGCCTGGGAAAACCGTGATAAAGATACGGCGGTTCTGCCTGCCCCAGCCCCCGCTCCATCACCCGCTCCGTTACTTGCTCCGTCACCCGACGTCAATCGCCCTCTATCAGCCAGTCAAGGCTCCAACACCTCTGCTGAGGGGAGTTGTCGCTCGTTGGCATCTTCCGCTCGTTCAGATGCTCCTTCTCCTGCTACTCCTCTTCACGGATTCCGTCAGCAGTCTTTCTTGGAATCCGTTTCCAAGAGACAACAGTTTGCGAGCACGCACCCGACGGTGCAAAAGCTGAACGTCCTCCTGTCCAAGTTGCTGGTGCTGCAGTCCCTCCCTTTCCAAGTGGTGCTCAGCACCTTTCCGAGAAATGATGGCTTGTGCCGCGCCGCGGTGGAGAGTGCCAAGCCGTCATTTCTTCGCCAAAAAGGCAGTGCCAGCCCTGCATTCACATGTAGAAGAGATGGTGGGCCAGTCTTTGAGCATGTCGGTCTCTGCCAAAGTGCACGGCAGCGCCGACGTGTGGAGCTGTAACTACGGTCAGGGACACAGTACATGTCATTTACGGCCCACTGGGTGAACGTGGTGCCGGCACAGCCGCACCAGCAACTTGGACAGGTCACGCCGCTTTTGCCTCCACGTTTGCACGTCCTTGGTCCACAAAAGATGTCCGCCTCTACCACCTCTTCTTCCGCCGTGTCCTCAGCCGCGCCACCCCCGTGCCAAGTCCCATTACCCGACCGGCATATCACATGTGCAGGGCGCAACGGTGTCACGCTGTGCTGCACCTGGTATGCCTTGGCGAACGTAGTCACACAGGGGAGGAACTTCTGAGTGTAAATGAACAGAGAAATCGACAGATGGCTGTCTCCGCGCAAACTGAAAATCGGAACCATGTTGACCGACAACGGAAAGAACATGGTGTCTGCTCTGCGTCAAGGAAGGTTGTGCCATGCGCCATGCATGGCTCACGTGTTCAATCTGGTTGTCAAGCGGTTCCTAAAATCCACCATCCCACTGCAAGACATCCTTAAAAATGTCACGTAAACTTTGCATGCATTTCAGCCATTCCTACACCGCAAAGCACACCCTCCTTGAGCTGCAGCGGCAGAACGGAATTCCACAGCATCGCCTGATCTGCGACGTTGCAACAAGGTGGAATTCAACCCTACACATGTTAGACCGCCTTTACGAACAGCGAAAGGCCATCACCGATTTCCTGATGTTACAACAAGCGGATAAAGGTACTCCCCTGTGTGTAACTTCGATGTCAGCCATTGGCAGCTCATGCGTGACACCTGCCGCTTGCTCAGGCCCTTTTGAGGAGGCCACGCTATTCGTGAGTCGGCAGGACTATGGGATGAACGACGTCATTCCTCTCCTCTGTTGCACGTCCTGGAACAAATGCTGTTAACAATGGCTGGTCAGGGTGCGGTAGACGTGGCGCACAGATCTCAACGCCACATGACCCCTGTGGGGGCAGGACAGGAAGAAGAGGAGGAGGTAGAGGAGGACATTTGTGCTCAGGAATTATTGAGTGAAATGGGTGGTTTTTTTTTCCTCACTCAGCGGACAGGAGTGGAGGAGCAGGAGCATCTGGTAGAGGAGGAGGAGGAGGAGACAGAGGACCCAGACGCACCGTGGCAGTATGCTGTGGAGATGGAGGCAGGGAGTCCCTCGCATTCCTTGGCACAAATGGCCCATAGCTCGGAGGTTGCTTGCGTAGCGACAGCCGAATAATAACCATCAGACAGAGGGATGACTTTTGGCTGTCCACCTTGTTGGACCCCGCTACCCGTTCAAAAAATGGTGGCCTTTTTCACACCTGCTGAGAGGGAGGCCAAAATAACGTACTATAAAAACCACCTATATGTAGTCAGTTGGTCTCTGCCTTTGCGCCAACGTCCATCCTCAGACACTGTGGGCCCTGTGCGCGCTCGCGTTCCGCTGCCATGGCAGCAGGGGAGGGGTGGGGTGGTAGGAGCAGTGGCAGCTCCACACCAGCAGCGGCTGCCTCAGTCTGCAGTCGATGATGAGTAGCTTTCTTCACCAGCGCAGTGAGGAAAAACTACTAACCAGCCGCAGCAGCAGCAGCAGCAGCATCAGGTGGACCTGGAGCAGGACCTCAAACAACAGGCTTGGGCCTACTTGGACAGCACCCTGCCAACCGAGGTAGACAATCCCCTTGACTACTGGGCAACGAAACTTGACCTTTGGCCCCAACTAGCTGAATTTGCCCTTGAAAGGCTGTCATGCCCGGCCAGTAGCGTGGCATCGGAGCGCGTGTTTAGTGCGGCAGCAGAGGTATTGTAACTCCGCGGAGGACACGACTGTCCACCCAAAGTGTGGAGAGACTCACGTTTGTGAAAATGAATCAGGCGCGTGGATTAGTCTGGATTTCAAACCACCAGTTCCTGGACACAACTGACTAAATCCGCCATGAATCATGCCCAAACATGTGCCACTTTCAGGTCTCCTCACACTGCTGGTGTGTTCCCAATTTTGTCCTTTTTTGTCATAGGGTGCTGGCAGATTACGGGGCTCCCATTGCTGCTGCCAGGCCCGTAATCTGCCATGGGCCCCAATACCGCCTCCTCATGCTGCTGCCAGGTCCAGAGTGTCTCATGGGTCCCTGTACGGCCTCCCATTGCTGCTGTCTCCATCGCCACACTCTGCCATGTGCCACTTTCAGGTCTCCTCACACACTGCTGGTGTGTTCCATTTTTTGTCATAGGGTGCTGGCAGATTACGGGCCTCCCATTGCTGCTGCCAGGCCCGTAATCTGCCATGGGCCCCTGTACCCCCTCCTTCATGCTGCTGCCAGGTCCAGAGTCTCTCATGGGTCCCTGTACGGCCTCCCATTGCTGCTGTCTCCATCGCCACACTCTGCCATGTGCCACTTTCAGGTCTCCTCACACTGCTGGTGTGTGTTCCATTTTTTGTCATAGGGTGCTGGCAGATTACGGGCCTCCCATTGCTGCTGCCAGGCCCGTAATCTGCCATGGGCCCCTGTACCGCCTCCTCATGCTGCTGCCAGGGTCCAGAGTCTCTCATGGGTCCCTGTACGGCCTCCCATTGCTGCTGTCTCCATCGCCACACTCTGCCATGTGCCACTTTCAGGTCTCCTCACACTGCTGGGTGTGTTCCATTTTTTGTCATAGGGTGCTGGCAGATTACGGGCTCCCATTGCTGCTGCCAGGCCCGTAATCTGCCATGGGCCCCTGTACCGCCTCCTCTGCTGCTGCCAGGTCCACAATCATGGGTCCCTGTACGGCCTCCCATTGGCTGTCTCCATCGCACACTGCTGTGCCACTTTCAGGTCTCCACACTGCTGGTTGTTCCATTTTTTGTCATAGGGTGTGTCATAGGGTGGGCAGATTACGGGCTACTCCATTGCTGCTGCCAGGCCCCTCTGCCATGGGCCCTGTACCGCCTCCTCATGCTGCTGCCAGGTCCAGAGTGTCTCATGGGTCCCTGTACGGCCTCCCATTGCTGCTGTCTCCATCGCCACACTCTGCCATGTGCCACTTTCAGGTCTCCTCACACTGCTGGTGTGTGTGTTCCATTTTTTGTCATAGGGTGCTGGCAGATTACGGGCCTCCCATTGCTGCTGCCAGGCCCGTAATCTGCCATGGGCCCCTATATACCGCCTCCTCATGCTGCTGCCAGGTCCAGAGTCTCTCATGGGTCCCTGTACGGCCCCCATTGCTGCTGTCTCCATCGCCACACTCTGCCATGTGCCACTTTCAGGTCTCCTCACACACTGCTGGTGTGTTCCATTTTTTGTCATAGGGTGCTGGCAGATTACGGGCCTCCCATTGCTGCTGCCAGGCCCCTAATCTGCCATGGGCCCCTGTACCGCCTCCTCATGCTGCTGCCAGGTCCAGAGTGTCTCTCATGGGTCCCTGTACGGCTCCCATTGCTGCTGTCTCCATCGCCACACTCTGCCATGTGCCACTTTCAGGTCTCCTCACACTGCTGGTTGTGTTCCATTTTTTGTCATAGGGTGCTGGCAGATTACGGGCCTCCCATTAGCTGCTGCCAGGCCCCTAATCTGCCATGGGCCCCTGTACCGCCTCTCATGCATGCCTGCCAGGTCCAGAGTGTGTCTCATGGGTCCCTGTACGGCCTCCCATTGCTGCTGTCTCCATCGCCACACTCTGCCATGTGCCACTTTCAGGTCTCCTCACACTGCTGGTGTGTTCCATTTTTTGTCATAGGGTGCTGGCAGATTACGGGCCTCCCATTGCTGCTGCCAGGCCCTAATCTGCCATGGGCCCCTGTAATACTGCCTCCATGCTGCCCAGGTCCAGTATGCTCCACGGCCTCCCATTGCTGCTGTCCATCCATCGCCACACTCTGCCATGTGCCACTTTCAGGTCTCCTCACACTGCTGGTGTGTTCCATTTTTTGTCATAGGGTGCTGGCAGATTACGGGGCCCCCATTGCTGCTGCCAGGCCCCTAATCTGCCATGGGCCCCTGTACCGCCTCCTCGCTCCCCATTGCTGCTGCCAGAGTCCAGCAGGGTCGCAGAGTCAGTGTCAGTGGAGGCAAACGGCCCACGGATTGCTAGAGCACCAGTCTCCACTGCAGCCTACCACCACGGCCACTTTAGTGGGCTCACACGGTGTGCACAGAGGAAGTTCAGTCAGTCCAGTGAGGAGTAGCTGGGGCAAATTTCCTACGGGCGGTGTGGCAATTTTTCAGTCTGCTGCCAGCCGCCCGAGGAATCTGCCATGGCCGTATGTACCGCCTATGTCCAGAAAGTCTGCTGCCAGGGGGCCCCAGTTGGTGTGTCTATGTTGCGTCCATATGTAGCGTCGCCATTGCTGCTGGGCCATGGGCCACACCGTGCCATGTGATACTTTCAGGTTCTGCCTGCCCCAGCCCAGGGTTCCATTTTGTCATAGGGTGCTGGCAGATTACGGGCCTCCCATTGCTGCTGCCAGGCCTTAATCTGCCATGGGCCCCTGTACCGCCTCCTCATGCTGCTGCCAGGTCCACAGTGTCTCATGGGTCCCTGTACCGCCTCCCATTGCTGCTGTCTCCATCGCCACACTCTGCCATGTGCCACTTTCAGGTCTCCTCACACTGCTGGTGGGTTTCCATTTTGTCATATGGTGCTGTATGGCCTCCCATTGCTGCTGCCAGGCCCGTAATCTGCCATGGGCCCCTGTTGTCGCTTGTTGGCATATTCCGCTCGTTCAGATGCTCCTTCTCCTGCTACTCCTCTTCACAGATTCCGTCAGCAGTCTTTCTTGGAATCCGTTTCCAAGAGACAACAGTTTGCGAGCATGCACCCGACGTGCAGAAGCTGAACGTCCTCCTGTCCAAGTTGCTGCTGCCAGGCTCGTAATCTGTCTTACGCCCTGTACCCTCCTCCTCCTCATGCTGCTGCCAGGTCCAGAGTGTGTCATGGGCCCCCCGTACCGACTCCTCATGCTGCTGCCAGGCCCGTAATCTGTCATGGGCCCTGTACCACCTCCTCATGCTGCTGCCAGGTCCAGAGTGTGTCATGGGTCCCTGTACGGCCTCCCATTGCTGCTGCCTCCATCGCCACACTCTGCCATGTGCCACTTTCAGGTCTCCTCACACTGCTGGTGGGTTCCATTTTGTCATATAGGGTGCTGTATGGCCTCCCATTGCTGCTGCCTCCACCGCCACACTGTGGCTCCACACTCTGGTTTTGGCCCCGTGACTGCCCAAATGAGTGAAGTGTGCGGTGATTCTAAGATCGACGGCACTCATCTGCATGTCATACTGACTGACAGTACTATTTCTCTTCCCCAGCAGACTCCAAGGGCATTTAAATTAATTAGGTACAGTGTTCTGCACTAATATAAAGGCTCTCTGAAGCCTATTCTTTGCTGTGCTGGAAAATGTGTGTTCTTGCATGCGTTTCTGCACCACCAATGGTGTGAACAAGTCCTAAGGGCCGGTTCACACTATAGAAACAGTCTAGATGTGTTCCTGATGGGTTTTTTTCATGCCCTTTTGGCATGCATGTTTAGTGTGTTCCAGTACATTTTGGATGCGTTTTGGACATGTTTACATTGCATTTTTGTATCCCTTCCACTTATTTTTTTCTATTTTCTTTGTATTCAATGTAGTTAGGGACATGTGCGTTTTAGTACATTCAAGGACGTTTTCAATGTGTTCCAGTACAGTTCTGTGCAGAAACAATGCAGCGTGGTCAACTTTGTTTACAGCACCTGCAATGCACTGAAAATGCAAGCGCTGATGTGAACTATGACATTGACAACCACATAACCTTCTTTCTGTGCGTTTGTGATGCCGAAAAAGCAACTGAAACACATGTAGTGTGAACTGGCCCTAAAGGTTATTAGAGGTCAGGGAACGAGACTGACCAGGAATTGTGAATTCAATCAGACTAGTGGTGAGATACAATCAGCAATTGTATAATAATGTGAGATCTGAGCTGTAGCTGATAGAAAATGAGACACATTCACTTGATCAGTAAATAGATAGTTAAAGAGTGGGGCGGTGATCCATAGATTTGCATATGGGACAGGTGATGATGGGGTGGGGGGAGGGGGTCAAGTTGTATGAGGAGACAGATTTAAAAGAGAAAAAATGTTACAATGAAATATACACGGCATGAAACTTGCACATTTCCTAATTGGCAGAAGAACAGTACATAGGTAACATTCATCCACTTTCTAGTCATTAGGCAAAATCATAATTGATTGATCAATATTCCTGGCACTGACACAACCCAGAAAATTGATCTCCAATTTTTTGGGATGTAGCCAAGGTGTCAGGAATGGACTTTCCAGTAATGGTGGGACCCACCTGCCTTGTGGGCTGCAGTACCAAGGCTGGCCAGCGGGTGCTCCCGGCAATCAGAGACTCAACCCTGCAGCCAGCCTAACACCTGAAACTGCTTATGCAGGTGTATTTAAGTAATGGCCAGACCTGCAGTCTTTGCCTTGGTGTGTGTGTTTTTCCTGGGCCCTGTATCTTGTTCCTGCATTCCTGTTCCTGTCTCTGTCTGATTAGTTGCTGACCCTGCCTGATTCCGGACCTCTGCTGACTTCTCCTGTTTCATCCCTGGCTTGTGACCCCGACCATTCTCTGCCTGACCCCCTGTGCCTACCTGCCCGATTGTTATTGACCCGGCCTGCCTGATGACGCTTGCATTGTATATAATATTTATCTGTGGGTGGTTTGGTTTGTTTGGCACTGTGTTATGTTTTAGTATTGCACTACCGTTTATGTTTGTATTGTTAGTGTTAATAAATTATATTGCTTATAACTTATCTGAAGCCTGCGTTTCCCTGCATCGGTCACATACCTCTGGTCACACCCTGGAGCCCTGACACCATGACTGGGATTAGAACCCATGACCCAAGTGCTGTAGGTTCTGAGCTCTAACCACTAAAACCACTGTGGGGGAGACACAGTTTGAGCTATAATGTAGAATAGTTACATTGTTTAAAAATGATAGAGCGAGTGCTGGTCAAATGATATATAGACTAGTAAAATGGTATTACACAAGATAAATATAACCACGAACCGTAGTGCATGAACTCATGAAAGGTCATCCACCCTTGTGACAGTGTACTACACTATTGAGCACTTTTCTGGCTCCTGTGGCTGAGCTAATTCTCCCCAGGACCATTTGGGCACCCACCCTGATGGATGGATTGAGCTGGATGACTAACCCATAGCTGCCAGCATACCGCTGCACCCCCAGATGTGTGATGTGTATAACCCATGCACATTAATACTTTTGTTCTGGTGAGTGTAGACCAGTCCCAAGGGTGGTTTACCTTTCACGAGTTCATGCACTACTGTCCGTCACGGAGAGACCACACGTGCCATTCATAGGCACTCTCTGAGTTGGTACTCTCACACGAAGGACATTCCATTATTCAGGAATGATTCTATGAACTTATTTTAGCACCATTTACAATTTTACATCATTGTTGCAATTCTTTGCACTTTTTGGTTTTTACATGCGTTCATTATTGATCACATGCATTTGCGCTGCACTTGTCTTTAATCATAGAATAGTTACGTGATTAAAGAGAATGAAGATATATAATTATATTGGGAAATTAGAAGTATATAAATTATTTGAGATATAAGTGTGAAAATGTTTAACATTTGAATACAGAATGTATGACATTCATTAGTAAATGCATTAGTTTCCTGATCATTTTGGAGAAACAGCAAAAAAAAATAATGAAAAAAAATAGGAAATTCTAATACAGGTGTACTATTTATTACATTCTAAGGATTCTCTTTTGCTATCAGAAAAAACGCCAATATTAATAAAGCCCGCGCGCTTTATTAACATATCCGGTATTGCACCTAAAAATGTGCCAGACAGGATACCACATTTACTAATAGCAACGCTCGTTAATGAGCTTGCTAGACGCTGGTCAGACGACTGATTGATTAACCTGAGTCTGCCTGAATGGTCAGTCTCTGCTAGTACACTCACATCTTAGTGAATCAAGGCCAAAGGGTTTGGTATGGATGGGAGGAGGGACCCCACGCAGTTTTTTTTTTTTTTTTTTTTTTTTTAATCGCAGACCTTTATTTTTACATTCAGCTGTCAAAATAAATATTATCTAGACCTTCAAAATAAGTAAAATCATTACAGAAATCATTATAAAGGATAAGAAACAAAAATAGAATCAATAGAACTAAGGAAATCAAATTAGAATACATAAAGATATGCCGAGTGCTGTTTGTTAAACACAGTAGACACGACCGAGTGTCGGCTGTCAGAGGACTCCACACAGAGATTTACTATTGAACAGGGTCTAAAAAGAAAGCGCCCACAGAAGACGTCTAAAATGTGTTCTGCAGTTATATCTGGCCATTGACACTGGAAAAGCATCTAGTTCTTCACTGTGACAACTTGCTTTAAAAAAAAACAATTTTTTACACATTTAAAAAATTTTTTGAAATGTCAGATATTGTTTAAAGTGAAGTCCTGATATTTGGCAAAGCAAATTTCAATGTGAACATGTCTCTGCAGTGATTTTTCATGGTGTTAGACATGCTTCTTAGCAAGTCTGCTTTTTGAGTCTGATTCCTGGGCTGTGTCTCGTTAGTAAATTCGATTTGGAGTCTACTTGTTGACGCTTCTCTTTAGTAAATGTCTTTGCAGTCTAAAAGTAGACGATAGCCCACAGAAATGTCTCTAGGCACAATAGTAAATCAGGGTCTCTATGTCTAGAGCCAATGCGGTGAACAGATTCCGCAGATAATCTTGCAGATCTGCGTCTCCTATTGATTCAGGAATGCCTCGTATATGGAGATTTTGTCTCCATTCCCTGATCTCCAGGTCTTTCTGTAGGGATTGTAGCTGTGACATCTGTTGCTTCAAAGTATGATTGTCTTCCTCCAGTACATGCACATACTGCACCAGATCATCTAATTTGGTTTTTAGGTGATCTGTACATTCTTCCACCAATGCTATCTCCCCTCTGAGTTCCTGAGCTATTTTCCCCACTGCCGCAGAGATAGTATGGGATAAACTCTGCAGAAGATCATGTAACTTATCATCCAGAATGTCTGCTGTGAGGTAGGGGATAGGAGAAGGGGGAGACAGAGCAGCATGATGAGTTTACATGATGATCACTCGAGGCCGTTATGCGGCTTGTGACACATATCTATCCATATGTGTAGGCTGCAATTGTTTGGCGGGTGATGCAGGGTACTTCTGATGCCCCCGATTTTGCCCATGGGGATCAGCAAATTGTGCTAAGTAAGTCCGGTACCTGTTCTCCTCTGCTTTAAATAGCTGACTTTCGCTCCTGAGGAGCTGGAAGAGAGAGCGGTGAAGTGGAGAGGGATCAATGTGTGACTGCCATCTTCAGCTTCCGTGCATGCATTTTATTATTCACCAATAGTTCTTCTCTATCTTTTAATCTAATAATCTCTCTCTCTTTTTTTTTTTCTTTATATTAAAGAACACATTACCCGCAGGAGACTGAGGTAGGATGTGCCAGCAAATGATGGTCTGACAGATAGAGATCCTATGGAGGAATGGTTCATGTTCTTTAATCGATGTGAGAGTAAACTGCTGGAATTAATTATTAAAAGGAGACAGGTCAAATTAAGGAAGATAGATACACA